TTTAACAATATCGGGCATCAAGTTATGAGGTTCGCACGTTTGAAATCAATTCAAAGAATTTTCAAAGTCACTCTCAGTCAGGGGTTATGCCTTTTGAAATCCATACATTTTTTCCGTTTTGATCTTCGTTTTCCAACATTTGTTCAGTCAGTGAAAAATCAATAGAAGCGATTTAATATTACTGGTCAAGGCTATCAACCGCCGTCCTGCCCCCTAACATGAGAAACAATCTTGTCAAATACACGGTTTCTCGAAAGCGATGCCAGCAAATTAAAATAAGTCCTATCATCAGTGTGAATTAAGCCCTGACAACAGAGATAACAATATTTTACTTTATGGATTCATTAAATTTCTAGGTGATCGAAGGATGAACTTTCCTCGTCCGACATTTTTAGACAAAAACCCATTTTTCAATAAGTCTTGACAAGACCAAATGTGTCCCCTCTTCGACCCCCCGTCTGCTCAAACGGTTTCAGCACATTCTATCATTAGACATGTTTATTTTCCTTGAAAAGCCTGCACCTGATAGTAGTCTGTTTCGCATTTAACTCACAATCATTTGTGAGTAGTGCTGTGGGATAATTGGTATTGATTAATTGGTTAGAACTGACCGTACTTCAGACTTCACCTTCAAGTACATCCCTTNCAACCAGACACTCAGAAGCACTAGATTCGAGTTTCGCTCTTACTAGAGCTTTCGATTTCAGTTAACGGATAGTCGACTGTGGCTCCCTTCGTTGCTATAGGGCCTAATTGAACTGACTGACACCTGAACAAACATGAATTCGCAATTCGGTTCAGCCCTGACATTAGCTGGTTGACACAGTGGTAACACACACGCTTCCATGTGGTGGGTAAGGAATTAAATTCTCGAACGGGACAGTGGATATGCACTACCGATGAGCTCTAGTAAGATCGAAATTCGAGTCTACTGCTTCCGAGTGTATGCTTGACTGGAAGAGCTTAGGATTGTGCTTGAAGGGAGTCTGAAGTATGGTAAGTTCTAATCAATTATTCAGTAGTCTGTTTGTTTATTCTTTCCGCACAGCGTTTGTTATAATACTAGACCTGTTTTTCTGCATCAATACGGAAACATTTCCTCGTTTTCAGGTTAACAGTTTTAACATCATTGAGTACATACAATCCTCAAATTCTGAACTGCATGACATGATTGTCAGACTGACCGCATCTTTGACTGTGACACGACTGTAATTTTGTTCGGAAGAAGCCTAAAAGCAATGTAGTATTTAAGAAGTCAATTTGAGAAACAAGCTCGTTTTCGGCGCCTCATTTACTAGCCAAATACAGCACTCTTTATAGGTCACAAAATCATATAGTTCAAGGAAATAGAATAGGCGTAAGTAATGTCTGTGTTTGTATGTGTGTGTGTGTGTGTGTGGATAAAATGGATAATACAATCAGGGGTGTGTGTGTATGTAGTATTTGGTCACAAACAAATACTCCCATCAAACTTTCAGAATCAAAATGCGTTTTGTTTCTCACACTAAAACGAATAAAAATTGTTACGGTAATATAATAGCTTCGACCGTTTCGCATTGTTTATTCTATAGATCGCCCTGCAGATGTGACAGCTGTACTAATTTTCTTGAGTTTCCTTAGACTCATGTTGTTCAACTGTTGGTTGAGTATATCTGCATCGATCCACACAGATAGTCTCTTTTTAAATGATGTTGACTTGTGAGAAAGACGTGCACGATTTACAGAGGGGAATGACGTAATCCAAGTTTGAACACAGTGTCTAAATTGATTAGTATTGTTATCACCCCTTAGAATGAATCAACAAGACTTTACGCCGCCGAATGAAAACACGGAATGTATCGAAGTATGACTGAAATTACGTACACCGAACCTACCTGTACTCTGCTAAAACCCAACAATTCATGTGCGGCCCTGACCAACTCCCAGTTTGATGACCTGTGCCCATCGGATCGGAACTCGCTACGTCCCCCCCCTCCCCAACACGGCCATTCAGTTGCACTTGTACGTATTTCCCCTATGATTCCCTAAGTGCTCCACATAGCAACTTTCGTTTTAACTACCGCGGTCCGTTCTTCGTTCAACCTGGTATCGCAATCTATCATCTCCACTCCACATGGAAACTGTTTGGTGTTATCCTTCGTGACCCCTTCTTCGTCCAAACTCTTACTGTAATTTTTTATCTCCACCCCACACGGAAACTGTGTCGTGGTAACTGTCGTCCTATTATCGTATTATATTACCGCCACCCCTCATAGAACTGTGTCGTAGTAACTGTCGTCACTCGTTCTGTGCTTAATCCATTATCGGTATCAATTACCTCAACCCGACATACAAACTGCCTCGAGTCATTGTGGTCACCTGTTCATCACCCACCCATTAAGATTATCCTACCGTCTTCACTGTTGTCACCGTTTATTCTTTCTCGCACATGCTACCACCCGCTACCCGCTTTCTGTGTTCAACCTTCCTAGACACCCTCCTCGTGTTCATTGTCTATTTTCTCAATTACACTGTGACTACGGTTGCCGTCTATCAACCACCCACCCCCCAACTTTAGTGTCGCTTTGCTTTCCCATCCCTGTGATTGGTCCTCACTGCCCTTTAAATAGTACTGTCTCTACATCCACATCGCAGTCCTCCTCTGATTTCCAAGAGAGTGGTTTCCTGGCACATTTGATCTTGTCGTATTGAACCGATTGTTTTGTCCAGACCGCGTTGCCCCTAATTTGCGGTAGGCGATTCTATTTCCATTAATTAATGAATCACGTAGATTTCCCAGTCTTGTGTTCTGACGCCAATTCGGAGGTTCGGTATCTGCGAGTCACTCTATCATCGGATGTCAATAAGGTGCACTGAATTCCCTGGATTGCAGCTTCCATCTCATCCCTGGTTTATGATCAGGTACCTCATTGAATCTCTTCGCCGAAGAGCTTTCCGAAATTATTCTTTTGTTCATCTCTTTGACTTTAAACAGAAAGAAAACAATTTCGCGAGATGGTAACATTTCGTTTAACCTTCTCCGTCGCTGACAAAAAACATGGATATATTGATACAATCAATCCACTTACAGTGGGTTTGACCATCTACTTCTCTATTTAGTAATTTTTTTATGCTTGTTCACGTTCGTTCACGATGTACTATATATGTGTCTGTTTCTTTTAAGTCAGCGATCGAGAAGATTAAACGAAATGTGAAGATATCGCGAAATTTGCCTTCTTTCTGTTTTGATGAAATAAATAAAGGGGTTTCAGTGCTTCAAATCTCTTTTCGCACGATCTTGGAGAACTGGGAGTCCTGCCACAGTAACATCAATAGTCGAGAAGGGAAATTTGAAGTGATTACCAAAGACGGACTTCTCGGTGTCTCTGAAAGTTTTCGAAAAATGCTACACGAAAAGACTTTTGTTATGACTTTCAAGTGGCTTGTTTTTCCATATAAACACAGTCAATCTCCTGCTATGTCGCACCCCTCGGGAATTCGAAAAAGTGGGTAAATTTCAGGAACTGCGACATAGCAGGGTAAACAGTAGTAGGTGCTAATAAGTAGTATAAAAATTGACAGTTTTGTGACGAAATAAACCGGATCGATGAAAAGTAGGTTAATCCCGTTAGTTGTTCCCAATAGTTATGACTATAAACTGTTTATTTACGACGGAATTTAAATCTACCGTCCTGCGTGTCCTGTATCGCACAAATTTTAATATTTTATGTCGCTCTCAGCCTATTATCGGCTCATTGCATCCGATACTCAGCTTTTCCAATTCTTTATGTCTCGTTATCTTGAATCTACCTACCTATCTTCAGGGTAACTTTTTCTGACCCAATTATTCCATATTAATTACACATCTTCCTCCATTCTGTTGCAACGTTAGGCTAACCACAGAATTGATTATATGACTTCCACCATAATATACAACTGTTTTAGCTATAATAATCACATCAGTATTAATCCACTCTAGGAAATCAAAGGTGACCCAGTTCGAATACAGGGAGAAGGAAATAACATTTAAAATGAGTGAAATATCTGTTACGGGGTATATTCAGAACATTGACTTCCTTCCCATATTCAAAATGATTGTTCCTTGTGCAATCTGTTTATGATTTTCTATTGAAAAATGTGTACCATTAACGTCTGTAGACATCTATTCGTTCGTTCGCTTCTGTTGCTACCAGTTTATGTTCAAACCGATTGATGCATTCGTCATTAGCGTTGTTGGTCGGACTAAGTTCAACTAGTGATACCTTGACCTGATTCATAAGCCATACTTTTTTAAGATGTCATGTTGCTATGTGGATAATACGATAGTCCGATTACTCCATTGGTTCACATTGTTTTCTACTTTTTGTGATGATCTTGTTGTCGCGTTCAGTCCATCCGTGTGCTGATGGCACTCCTGTTGCGCAGTCAAAGTTCACTGGGCCTACCAAAGATTCACGGTTGTAGACAAGGTGTGGTTTCTCGCTGGGCAAGCACCAGGTCCCTTGTGTCGGCTGAACCAGTCGACCGATCGATAAATGAACCCGATCGGTTGCGCGATTTTCGGGCCGACATCGGAGCATGACAGGTTCCGAATATGATGCTGTCTAAGTGTTGGCAGGGCATCACCACAAGAGATTCATAAGCTAAAAGTGCATTTCACAAACTTCCCTTAAACTCGGGTTACGATGACCTTTGGCAGGTGACCTGTCTAATTTCATCGGTGCTCTAGGCCAGGGGAGAGTATCGTTCATTCATTCACACTGGCGCGTCCGTGTGTCGGTGTTCATCGATCGCTCGGATCTGACAGCTCACTCCACTCACCCGCCCTCCAGACAATCGCGAATATCGTTTGACGTTAGTGCTACAGAGCCCATCGATAGACCAAATGATCGTGGCTTTGGTGACCACTGCAGCAAAAATGACCACATTTCATGATCACATTTCAGTTCAGTGCCCCACAGAATAGCAAAAATCTTCCCAGATTAGAAAGATGTATTTTTCGCAAAATCATAAATCGTCTTTTATCTTAGCTTGGCTCTCCGTAGGAAATCAACAAACGCACTGCCTAAATCAATTGTACACTCCAATAATCGACCCGAACTCCGAGCATTAGCCAAGGCAAAGAGCTTCAATTGATCCAATAACTTCTGCACCTCTTTGATTGAGATAACTTCCGGCGCATTCACTGCGTCACATTCGTCATCTTCTTTGCCATGCTTAGCTTGATGCGAAACGAATTCATCTAATGACTAAAAAGAGACTTGAAACAAAAATTTTTTAATAACCCACTTCTTTCTCATCATATTCCAAACAGGCTATTTCTTCTTCAAAAAGGCGGTCATCAATAGATACAATGTGTAAAGTCCTCGATCAGATCACATTTATCCTCTGGTGGCTGCATCACCGTCTGAATCAATGTGGATTTGAACCCTGCGTTCATGAAAGCGTTGATTAGTACGTGTGGGCGCACAGACACCCAAGCTTTCTTGACCAGATGCATTGCCATGCGAATGTCCACCTCGGCTTTCATGATGGGTTGCTCATCTTCGATCAAAGACAAAACATATTCCAGTAAATGTTTCCGAAACGAACATTTAAAAGACCAAATCACGCCCTGATCCATTGGTTGTAACATCGAAGAACAGTTCGGAGGCAGCCATACCAATTTGATGTTGGAGGATACTGCGGCTTGGT